ACTTTTACTTATTTATACTGCCAAGGAAACAGGTATATGAATTCCTTAGTAACCACTTCTTGGTTGAAGTATGTCCGTCAACTATTTGCGGTTTTCACGTTGCTAGACCAGTCGCATTCCATCAATGAAGCAGACATGAAATACCTAGATACTATATTGAATATATCACTAGTTTATTAGCGAAAAAAATCTATATAGCTATCCGTAAAATATATGTATTTTAGTCTAATTGGTAGCCTTCGAACTTCTAAGCGTATAAAGTTATCATGATATTACGTTCGCCCTTAACAATGGTAATGTGACTCCATCCTGTCGATCCATCGCGGCTTATTATTGGTCGCTAACGACCACTTTTGAAGTCTCGGCTGGTGTCGATAAAAACGACAAATCTCATAAATCCACCGGCGAATCGTCTAACTCGTGACACTTCAATTAAACCAGAAGACATGTCAATCAATCTATTCGAATCGATCAATCCATCATTCGACAAAATACACAATGTTTGTGTTGCTGCTGTTCACAACAAAGTAAAAATTGCAATATCTTATATTATGAATTTACTTATAAATAGAAGTCCTTCGAAGCTTGTGTTTACTGGCAAGATTCTAAATCAACTAATAAATACCTATGCATTAAAAAATGTACTTCATTTCTACTTTTTTATGTATGTACTCATAATTTATACTGAGTAGTTCAATTTTGATAGTTCTTTGAATAGTAAAGTAAGCCCTAGTTTAAATCCATAACTTTCAAACTTAAATTTTGATTATGTAGTCATCATCAACATCATCATTATCGCTTATGAAACGTACGAGTTTATGATATAATCATCATCATCATCAACCCATGCTCGTCCACTGCTGGACATAGGTCTCCCCTAATGCTTACCACTGCTCCCGATTTTCTGCCACTCTCATCCAGCCTACTCCAGCCAGCCTACTTTATTATTATGCTATAATGTTAACAAACAATTCAAAAAAAATAAGTACTATTTTCAGAGATATAGTTTAGATAAATCTATGATATTGTGTTTGAATGAGACATTCCTATTACACTATGAATGGTGAGATGATTTATCTTTCAATGGACTATCTCAGATTGTGATAAAATAAACTCGTAGCAACGAGAATGCAATGCATAATTTAATCAACTGAAATTATTAATCTTATCCAAAGTTAAAATTGTAATAAAAAAATGCGTAATGGGAGTAAGATAAATGTAATTAAGAGTAACATGAAGTAGAATGATTGCAATTTTTTTTTAATTATATAAGTGTTAAATTTTTGTGCAATATTAAGAAAATGATCGCATTTAAGAAATCTATATATATAAAACTCAAAGGTGATTGACTGACAGACATAGTGATCTATCAACGCACAGCCCAAACCACTGGACGGATCGGGCTGAAATTTGGTATGCAGATTGATGACGTAGGCATCCGCTAAGAAAGGATTTTGATCAATTCTACCCCCAAGGGGATAAAATAGGGAATGAAAGTTTGTATGAAACTTTGTCAATTTTAAAGCGATTAGGCTGAGACTTTGCATGCAGGTATAAGAAGAATCATAGATGAATGTCATTGTGTATAATACAAGCCTGAGAGCAAAAACTGTAGTCTACACTTCAGCTCTACACCGAAGCGAAGCGAGGGCGGGCCGCTAGTTATGTTAGTAAAACTAGAAAGTAAGAAAGGAATAAAGAATTCGTTACATTCAAAAAAGATTTTTCGCCAATGGTTTGAAGCTTATAAGGTTGTCACAAAAATGTTTGTTCTATGTTGGAAATGTTATTGGACACTATAATTGATTTTCGGATTCCAATCTCAAGTTTTATCACAAGTTGAGAACTTGTGATTAAACTTCATTAATGTAGCAAAATAATCTAATTGACCCTTTTAATTTTGTCTTAAGAACGTATATATACTTACTCATACGTTCGCAGAAAGTAAAAAATATAAAATTTACATTTAATCCAAACTTGAATAGCTTCAAGTAATCTATAAATGTCAGTCTTGTAAAATGGCTGTCATTTGCGAATCATTGTAAAAGAAATACTGAAGAGCCATTCCGAGAACCAAGTTTTCGTTTGATGCATGAGCATTTTGTAAACTTTTGAATCATGCTGAGTGAATATGTTGAGACGATGACAGCTGCCACGCCACGCCGCCGCCGTTGCCCTTTTGCTTTTGTTTGTTTTATATTTATTTACATTCGTGATTAATGGCGAAATGCAAAAATGCAACGTGTTGAAATGTTAATGACAACAAAATGGAGCGTTAAATCGCACAAATTATGCGGTTAACGCACGAGGAACGCTCTCACAGCGACTCTGAAAGCTTGCGATTGAAAGAATGAAACTGACGGTTAGCTTTAGTGCGCTCTGGTTTTGTTGATAAATATGAATACAAAACTTTCTTTTTATCAAAACAGTTAAAACCTGGTATCCTTGTTTCGGTCACTCATTATTTGCATATATGTGGAACTACCACCATATCAAATTGATTTAATTACCTATCGAGATATTTTTTTATTTAATTCCCAGTCTCATATTCATTGAACGTAGAATTTTTATGTGGCCATTATCTACTTTGTGCATTGTCAAGATATTGAACTCTCTCTATTCTTCATATAATCGCTGGTTGAAATTAGTTGTCTGTTGATGATAATGCAACCCACACTTGGCTTTAAGAAACTGGAACTGCTCGACAAACAAGTTGCATATTACGTGCCCACTCTCGAACAAATGAAAGTCCTGCCCGGATCCGATGTTTGGCATTGACAGTATCGATTCAATTTACGAACGGACGAAATTATGTATTTTATTAGCACAATTATAGATTATGAAGATGTTTTTGAAGTTAATTAACCTTAATTATGGGTTGATCTCGTTTAAAAGCTACTTAAGATTAAAAAGTGACGCAAGAACTTTAAAAGCCGCAATTAATGTTGTAAATTTAAGGCTATTTGAAATTTTCGAGGGAAGTGGTAAGTTTAATATTAATCGTGTCTTATTGAAAATGTTTAAGTAGTTGAAAAAAAATCTTTCAGACAAGATTCATTTTCAATCGGATTATCTTATATACGATCTTATTACTCCAAATCATCCATAAAAAAAACATCGCCTACATTGGTGCTATTGTATTATGTTAGTGCTTTATAATTGAACTGTGGGCGACGGTGGTCGTACACCGTACCGTACACATTTTTATTTCTATATTGACATTCTTTATTCAGAGATTACATATTATGCCGAGTCTGTAATTGGTTCAGAACGTGACTTTGCTATACCCTGGCACCACACTGACCTGTAAAGTGTTGTTAACTGTATAATAATAATTGAGAAAGGAATTTAAATTTTGTCATGCTGACACTGATAAGAACATAAATTGTCATATAAGTAAGTACAATATCATCGAGGTAACAAATGGTTTTACTATAAAGATCATTGCTAGATAACTACCAAGATTTATAGTAGGAGTTGCGCATTGAAACTGATTACAAATCCTTGAATTATAGATTATTAAATTAGGCTATCTCGAGTTAACCGAAATGTCAGAAGTGTTGATTTAACACTTCAAAACGGAGAAGTGTGGACCCGTCAATTCAATGCGCTAGAGCCGTTCTCAACCATCAAGGTGTCTACAAACAGTAAGCGGCAACGATCAAAATTAGCGATGAGAAAAACGAACGGCTTAAATTTATTCAACGTTACAACGTTGTGCTTTTTTTTATAAGCATGCTTATATAAAAGCTTTTCGTTTAAACGCTTTTTAGTATGTTGCGTATGCTTTGGAAAACGTTTAAATATATAAACCTGATGTTATGTTGTCAACGATAAACGTAATATTAATTAATAAAGGTACGGAACAAATAAGGGTGTTTCTCGTCTTTTTATTAAATACAATAAATTTCTCGTAATACATCTCGACAAGATTATTTATAAGAGGTATATAAGGTGATTATTATTTACACAAGTATCTATTAACAGTGTTTATTTACCCACCCAACAGTCGTATTAAAAATGTTTGACCCCTTAAGTGAATAAAAGCAAAAGCAAATGTGTACGTAAAAATTAAAAATGCAACGAAAGCGCACACGACATACAAACGCGTATGTAACGCGTAGAGTGGGAACGCGTACTCAGCCCTTGACGTTAAAAAGAGTACTGCTTATTGCATAGTTTTTTACTTTTGCTTTTTATAATCGCTTACGCTTATAATCGAAATGAATACCAAGGAATTCTTTTTTGTAATTAATTAGAGCCGAACTTTAATTAATTTTTTGAACATAAATGGTGTGACAGTCAAAGCATGTTTTATTACATCATACAAGTAATTTTGCACGGATAAATAGATGGCGAGCGGGACTAAGCAAAAAGTGTGCTGTTTATCAATTTATAAGCATACTGTTATGCTTTTATTAAAAAGCAGACTTTTTTAATTGCTTGTCGTTTAAATGCTCACTTCTAATCATAATCCCCACTGAGGTCTGCGCATTAATTGGAATGAGTTGGCTAGGAAGCTAATGTCAACTAGTTGAATATAGGAATCCAGATAGAATAAATGACCGAGGAATAATATGTTGGCACAACAATTGCGGAAACAATAAAATTTAATAAAAGAACAGTATACTTACTTGCGTTGTCTAGAGTACCTACTCTAATGAACTTGATTTATAAAAACTAAATAACCTAATAAACATCGGAAATGCGTAGGTATACGGGCTTTGAAAAAGAAAAAAATGGCAGTCTTTTAAAATCAAAGCTAATTTTACTTTGTTTTGTTAAGTATTTATCTTTCCCAGAACTAACATACGTTATTGTTATTTTTATTTGAACTTGGTAATACAATGAAAGTAAGATCAGTAACTTTCTAATTCAAGCTGCAAGGTTAAACGATTTAATGTTCAACATCGAAGATTTTGCATGCTGCAGTTGCATAAAGTGCAATGAATTGGTTAGCATAGCGAATGTATGAGTGTTTTGGTATGTAGCCAACTCACGTTGTTTTGGTGATGTGGGCCGCTCTCTTCGACTAATTATGAACACTGTTTCATTCAAAATATTAAACAAAGCAACACAAAATATTAACTATAACACTAAATCAATCTCACTGCACTTATAATGACGCCAATTGTCGACGTTTCAAACTCTGAACTTTTTTATTGAATAATTACTCTGCTAATACAAAATATGTTAATCCTTCAGGGACACACACGATATAATAATGCTTACAAAATAAACTACAGTGTTTTATATAAACTTGGAAGCTTTATCACAAACTTAACCGCATGCTATGTAATGTAACCAATGTAGCCAATTACCCAGAAATGTGAGCAAACAACCTGTTGACTATGAAAACAATTTTGTTTGATGAGTCACGGCGGTTCGTCTATTCTCTGAGGAGCGTCGGTGAACCGATGACCCCACAAGCTCCTAACAGCGGATTACAAGCGTTGAACTTGACCGCCCACATATAAAAGAACCACACATCGTCCCAACGTTGCCTTCGCGTGCGCGCTGAAGAAAAATAATAACCATAATATCCGCCCAAACTTATAGCAAACGATCGCCACACGTCTGATCTTGACATTGGCGCCGGCAAAAATGACAGTCATCATACGGTATTCGTTATCTACATTTCTGTAAACATCTATTCACATGCATAAATAGATGATTGTCGGCTGGTACGTAATTATGTGTGCATTGTTCGCGGCTGCAAGTACGAACACAGACCAATATCGATCATTGTCATTCTTTTCATGGAAGACATTTCAAAAGCTCGTGCCATTTGCTGCATAGCTCCTGCTGCTTTCACAACCATTATAGTGACTGCGTCGATAGTGGTTTTTTGACATCGATAAGCTGATATCGATTCTTGGATCTGACCATTACATCGATTTATGACAGAAGATCTCGAACTAACGACACGTCATAAATCTTGTTGCTTCTTTATTGGCATTACTTCGGACCTCTAGAACCTTTACCTATTGTTTGCAATTTCATTATAAAAGTTAATAAGTATAGATAAACATGCTCAACATTTCTTCATTTCAAAAATCATAACTTTTAATTATTCAATCTAAAATAAATTCTGCGCCTAAAGCATTAGTTGCTTACAGGGTCACAAACCTTGCATGCTTAAAATTGTTGTTTTAAATAGTGTTTGTTTTCAAATAAGTAATAAATCATAATCATCATAAATAACAGAACATTCTACATAGATTTTAATACACCAATCGAGTTTCTTATATCTATATTTTTGTCTGTCTAAATTTTTTTTGAAAATGTATAAAAATGAATATAGGCTGTGATATATTTCATAAAAGTTTCGATACTGCTATGGTGACCCTACGCTTTGCAGGTAATTATAGGTACTTGTCGGGGAAAGCGTCGTGCGCCTGCGCCGCCGCCGCGCCGCCGAGCCGTTAATCTCAGGCGCAGTAAAGCTTCAAGGTTAACTTTCGCGGCGAACAACTTTACATCAGATCGTAACTAATAAGATATTTAATTGCTGTTGTGATAAATAATGAACTAGCTTTTGATGCACATACTAAATCCGACATCTTTTTTACTACGTAACTGGATCATATTCAGGCTAGAAAATTATGTTTAAAATACAATTTCTCTAAAACTCAAAACGCTGTATAATATTCTTCGACTAATGTGTATTATCATACATAAAAAGAAACGCCCATGAGATAAGGGTGAAAGTATTCGTATTACTAACATTTCGTGTTTTCGTATACGTGACCAGAGTGTAATATGATCCCGCTAAGTTCTCAGCTGAATCCCAAATACATCAAGAATTACATTTGGCAAAGTTTCCTTATATTAACTTAGTGAAGTGACTCATGAAAGCCTTTGCGAAATACGCCAAATTTTACTTTATTTTATTTAATTTAAAAAGTATACGAGGTATATTAAAGCTGTAACTTTTTATGTATTAGCCTAATACAAACAAATATTAGAATTATAACACGTTCCACCAAATTTGTCATATTTGGTGGAACTTGGTTATAAACAAAATGGGATAGCTTTTGCTTACACGTCCACTACGGAATCATGCTGACCATTTCGATTCATGCCAATTTACCAAGAAGAGATGTAAAACAAAGATTATATTAATATGTTTACGATTACATAAATGAAGAACACATATTATTATGTGCATTATCTACCTAGTCACCATAGAAAAAATTATACCAAATAATATCAAACTCCACAGCAGTTCAATAACACTACTTTTGGTGGTGGCGTCTATCTGTCGGTGAGTAAATTTTCCAGACCCTCCATGGTAGGAGATTGGATTCAGGCCAGTAAAGTGAGCATATGAATTTTGGATTTGATTTGTCTTAAGTAAACAATATAATTATTGACACCAGCACAAGCTTACTTTAATTGCGTTTTGATCAGAAAAAACTAGAAAACTATACAATTCTGAAATTAATTATCAATTAAGTCTTTCCTTCAAACAAGGATCTGCCTCAGGGTAACAAACATCATTAATTATGCAGGAATTCACTGAACCAAAACTCTTGGATTTTTAACATTACTGTTAAAATTCACTTTTGCATGTTCGCAGCGCCCTGGAGCATTGCATAATTTAACGATTAACTGCAGATGCACGCATCTTTCAATCTTATTTAGGTATCAGAATTTTCTTTTCCATGATTTAGCAGTGTTTTGATAATGATACTTTTTGTTTAGTCTACGTTAGGTCTATTATACAATTTATCATTGTTTGTGCCCATTATGACGCACCATGTGTAATTATAATAATTTCGTAGGCATGCATTGCGTACGCCGCGTATGGAGATAAGAGATATAAGCTGCGTCACGCGACTCCACATCTCAATGGCTCTGGTCATGATTCATTGCAAATTATTTTTAGTGTATTGCGGTATTCATGTAATTTACTACATGTGAGTGATACACACGCCTACATTTAACAAACACGTTGAATGTTTTATTTTTAAGTTTATGCGTTTATGAATGGGCATATGTCAAGCGCGAGTGTTGTTTTGTCTCGGCGCCGATATTTTGACACCATTTATTTAAAGGTGTAAATAAACTGGAGCGGTATTATCATACGCTGGCCATAAACAATGGGGTTATTTTTATTCATGCTTCATCGACTGAACCCTAAAATGTTAAATAAAAATAAAATTGTTGCCCATCGCGTCTCGCTTCGTATATCTCTTGAGATATCCCAGGGTTTTTGTATGTATGTATTATTCATAGGATTTTTGCCTTACTTGTTTGTGCATTGTCTACGCGTCTGCAATTATTAAATTTATGCGTAAAGCCTTTAGGCAGATCACTGCATTAATGTATCGACTGAGTCACCACGGGACCGAGGCTGTCCACTCGCTGGGCAGGCTCACGTTGATTTATCGGTCTACTCCCGTCGTTGATCGATTTGTTTCGGCATAATAACAATGTGAGGCAGGAACGCAATTAATAGCGATCAATCGTATTAAGGAGACAGGTGCGAAAAAGTCAACCACTCGGAAACAACTTAAAGTCGTTATTCTTCCCTTACGGGAACAATAAAACTTCTTTAAGTTAAATCAAATTAATTTTAATAAATTAAATACTTAAGTCACTATAGGTAATAAATCAGTGTAATATATTTAAAATACCTAATTTAATTAATTGCCAAATAATTGAAATAAGAGAATGGATACTTTTAATTACGTTGTGGTTAGTCTAACGAAACCCAAATAGCTTTTCAGCAGTTTTCCAACACTAATATCATAATGTAAACACACAAAACGTTATGATAGTCGTAACTCGTGACCCAAACACATCCCAAACAAACCATAAATGAAAACCGCTTCTGAGGCAAGCGTCAGTCATTCATAACATAATCGAATCACAGCTCTAATCGGAGGACGCGCGGTCCTCATCAATAACAGTGTCGCAATTATGAAACATTCCCTGTTACTCCACGATTCGTAATCGATCAAACAGATAAAATTGCGCATACCTAGTATGCGAGTTTTAACTTATTTGAAGATGTTTAAGTGCACATTATTGGTAGATTAATTTTGAATTGGCTCAGAACAGAGTAAGTATTTAAGTAACAGTAATCCCTTGATGGGCTGATGGTTAAGTGGTCAGGAACGTTATAAATATTAGTGTCAGGTAAGAACCACTGTCTTTACCGAAATCGCAGATTGAAAAAATAGTCAATTCACTTATTGAAGGAAGCTATATATATTACTAGCTGACCCAGCGAACTTCGTACCGCCCTAAAAAAATAGGGGTTGTCCAGCGGACAAAATTGTGAATCTAAACCATTCTCAGATCCCCTTGAACACACACAAAAAATTTCATCAAAATCGGTCCAGTCGTTTAAGAGAAGTTCAGTGACATACACACTCACAGAAGAATTATATATATAAAGATTTGCGAGATCTTTAAGGGATTGGAAAAACTAACCGAGTAACTATGCATATATTTCTTGCTGATGTCGAGATAAATTATTTTATTTTATCTACTGCTGCTTTAAATTCAATGAATATAAATATGATCGTGCATCTTCGTGATGTGGGTCGTATTATTAAGGTTTGACCTTTTTTGCAAAATGATACTCCAACATGACTTACTGAATACGATGACAATTGTTAACGAAGATTGCATGTTGATAAAAACAAAAATAAACTAAATTGGAGTCGACTACCAAATTAAATTAGCGGTGATGTTGTCTAAACTTTTCAATGACTCCGAGCTAATAACGTGATTCATAATTTTTTGAAACGATGCTTTGAACATTTTAAAGATTCCCTGTTTTTAATGGCTAATTAATCGATGATATCCGGGGTACTTGAAATATTTTTTCCATATCCCGTCCTTGTTTACATTGTACGTGTAGGTACATTTATGTGTGCTCAACTCATGTTATGTTCACTTAGGCTTACCTAGGTGAAAAATTGTATATCCAATTAGTGTCAAATGTCAACAAAATATGAGTTAAATCTGTAAACTGACACCATCTCATAATGTGACAGCTCTGACAACAAGATACGATGTGAGTTTAATAACAATATATTCTCACAGTATCGGACAATACCTCTGTTATTTCATTATGCGGGTAGTTTTGGGCCGCATTGGTAGTGACTTGAGTGACAAAGTTATTATTTAGGTTTATGCACACATTGACACAAATTGATGATGACGTTTCGTGTATTATAGTGGTGTCATAAACGTCGATACGACCAGAGCAAAATTTATCCATTTAAAACAACGAGTCGACTTTATTACTCTACTCTACATTAGTGATACAGTGACTGCCATATAATTATGAAATACACCATCAATCTTGCACCATTTCTAAAATTAGAACTAATGGCTGCCAAACGTTGTCATAAAACAGAATTTATGGCATTTCACGCCTCTTATACTGCATGTGTAGGTTATGAAAGAATGCTTAAAAACAATATGACACGCATTCAAACATGAAATTAGGTTATAGGAATAGTTTTCTACGTTCTATTTAAGCTTCTTTAAGGGAGAAGGCCTTTTATATATAGCCATGCTCATGTGTTTCGAAAAAGCCAATTTCAAGATGTATTACCCTTTGTTCTTAGGCCTCCAGCGACGAGGTAGGTATTTACCGCCCTATAGTAACTTCTATTACATCGCTAACTTAATGTGACGGCTGCAAATGCGGTGGCAATTCGTATTCATTATGTGTAACATTCAAATGGGTCGAATATAATTCTTTATTGTTATATTCGCTATCATCTTCATACAAATTTCTATGTTTTTAATCTGTTTTCATTATTTTAGCGAGGTTTGAAGCATTTATGTTCGACTTTATCTTACATTCATAGTAGCAGCTTCTACCTTCATTGTAATATTCGTGTTTTCATAGTTTTTCATTGACTTTTCCAGACGTCTGTTACGAATCGTTAGCATAGTTTCACCAATTTGTGACGGCACAGGGGCGGTTGCAACACGTGGTTTGTTAGTTGCGTGCTAAACAAACGAATAGCGGCTTTCGACACGGTTGCATTTAGCGGCCCTTCATATGGAGATGTCACTGCACAACACTCTCGGCCACTCACAAAA